CTCTTGTATGGACTGTTTGACTTGATGCTGTATAAACTGGACATTCAGGACCCACAGAAAAGTGACTGCTGATTCAAGATGGACATTGCTACAGAGTTCCTGCTTCATGGAAGAGTCTAACAGACAGTCTGCAGGCACAGAGAAAAGTGACTGACAAACTGCCAATACAAGAAGACAGTTTAAAGTTTCCTACTTTGCTGAAGAGTCTGCCAGACACACTATGGCCTATGGGCTGAAGCTGGAAGATTACAGAAGAACTTCAGGTGCCTGACCAGGCAGTGAGTTGTCTCTGTCATTTCTAGAGTTTATATACTACTTTCTATGGTCTTTGAAGGAGTTAAAGACAGATGGTTATGGTTATAGTTTTCCTTAGTTAGGATTAAAGATAAGTTACATAGACTTAGACACAAAGATAGAATAGATGATGGAATATTTTCTTAAATCTTGCTAAATGTTAATGGACTAAATATTGTTTACTGTGATCTTACTTGATAACTGTTATGTGATATATTTTGCTGTGTTAAGGTTAAAACCCTTCTTTTTATTTAGACAGAAAAGAGGAGATGATGGGAGATGTCATTCTGTATATGTTTCTCATACTGGGTAATAATAAAGCACGCTGGCCAATAGGAAAGGAAGATAGGAGGGACTAGGAGACAAGGAGGAAATAGGAAGTAGGGAGGAGGAGTCAGCATGGAGAGACCAGGGTGACTAGACACCTGCCTCACTCCCCGGTAAGGAGACCATGTGGAAATACATAGAAATGGGTTAATAATTAAGGCAGAGCTAGCCAATTAGAAACTAGTACCTGGCCAATAGCATTATATCAAATACAGAGTCTCTGTGCATTATTTGGGGCTGGCGCGGTGGCGGCGGGACAAGACCAGCGGCAGCAGGCAGAAAAACCGTACTCGTTACATTTGGGAATACCAGAAACCAGGATCAGATCTTTAGCAAGAGGTCACCAGTGAGGACAGTACCTCTATTCCTGATCCTAGGATCTCAAAGGACAAATTCCCAGACATCTAGCCATTTAGGACCCAGTAGGTGAACTCTGTTAACCAGCCACTGGACTGGGGGCATGGAGATCCCCGAAGCATCAGAATACTCTCTTTCCAAAGTCCCCTCCATCCATAGCCCTGGCTGTTGCCTAGCTCACTTGAGAAACTGTAATTCTCCTACTTGCTTCTCAGTATTGCTCTTTTGAACAATCACAGGACCCAGCAGGACCCTAGCAAGGGTGCTAGCCCTTGGACTGCGTTATTCAGGACACTGAGTTATTAAGTTTGTGTTCCTGGACCAATGCATTGAACAGGATCAGTCATGTGACAGATACCCTCTCCACACAGTCCCCTGCTTCTGGACCTCACACCAGAACTGAAGATGACTCCAAGAACCCTAAAAGTCCTTCTGGGATTCTTTCTGGGCTCAGAGTAGAGAGGGTACCTGCCCTGAGGATCTAGTCTAGGCAGGTGGGTAGCCTCCCTAAAGGGCAATCTGCAGAAGTTTCCAGAGAGGCCAGTTGTCAGGGCCCACAGAAATGGCTCATCTTGACTTAAGGTCAGAGAGCTCAAAACTACTCTTGCACTTTCAAGGTTAAACAACAGAATGTTTGCCCTAAGGTGTGGCTATTGTATGTCTTGACTTAAGAGGATATTTGATTTAGGGTGTGGTTTTGGGTAATTATGCTTGCTTGTTCTTTGTAACGGGGTAAGGGAATCTTTTGCTCCTCTCCCCCACCTTTTGATTGGGGTATATAAGAACTTGGGTCTGACTCTAGTATTTACTGGGTGCCCTCCTGACTCTATCTCTAGCCTCTTGTATGTTTCTTTCCTCAATCCACACTCCCCTTCTCAGGCACATTTAAACAGATTGGCAGGCCCCAACAACCAGGGAGGTGCTAGAGCAGGGCAGCCCCTCCTTCCCATCCCCTTGATCAACCTACATTTCAGGGGAACCTAAGTGATGAGGATAAGGGACCTCTCAGAGTTGGTACAGAACACACATAGACACCAGATTCTCAGCACAAAGGAGATTTATTATCCTGAAGGGATGGGGTGGGGGGGCATCTTTGGATCAGGAAAAGACAGCAGATGTCTTCATGAGTTTTTAAGGGGAAAGTGGGGGAGTCTGTGTTAGGGTGATTTGTTAAGTCCTGATTGGACCTGTCAACCAGTGTAGCCAAAATATGAATTTGGATTGCTGGACCTTGTTGTTTTGATAGCTGGACATTCGGGTTTTAGTCAGGCATAAGGAAATGCCCAAATAAGGGAACATATCCTGAGGGCTAGGTTTAGGAATGTGATCTAATGGTTCAGCAAGAGAGAGGGAAGGAGTAAGACCTGATGGCACCATGTTTACAATGTTCAGACTTGTTAGAGAGCCCTTCAGAGGAATTCCCTGCCAACTTCAGGAGGCCTCACACTCTGTGATCCCTGGTTGACCAGGCACCTTGGACAAGTGAGCCAAGTGCCCCTCCTATATCCCCGGCTCTTAGCCAGCATTCATCTGTAAACAAATGCATATGTTGTCCATTGCAGGCTTCTCCAGTTGGTCTTTTCTATCATGGTCTGTCTCCTGCATGTCCCAATAGACAAGTCCTCGTGACCCCTGGAACTCTCACTTCCTGGATCTTCAACTGGATCTTCTCACTAGATCCCTGGAATCCTCTGCACAGCTAGAGGTCTGTAGACTGAACCTGGATCATCTGCAAGAGCAGCAATCTCTCTTGCCTGCTGAGCCATCTCTCCAGCTCCAATATTCTTTATATATATATATATATATATAAAGAATATTCCCAGTAGTTGGGAGGTGGAAGAAGTAGGATCTCTGAGTTTGAGGCCAGCCTGGTCTACTTGCTCTCAGACCATGTCATCCCCAGGTGTGGCTAGATGAATGGCCAGTTAGGCACAGGCCTTTTGCCATATTACCTCTTTCTATTCATAGGTTCAGAAGTCTAGTTAGCTTGTAGCAGCCAGCCTTAGCTATGGTCCACACCCCAGTTGGGCAGGCAGTTATGGAGCCTTGTTCCCCAAGGTAGCACTGCCCTGATAGCTTTCTCAGGCCCAAGCAACTGCCACCTCCCAGGGTTCTGTCACTCAAAACTGAGACCATCATTATCCTTGCCTGTTTCTCTTAGCAGTCTGTGCATAGCAGTATGCTGCACTCTGAGGACTTAGGAAGTAGTGGCAGGAGTACAAAGGCCATCCACTGACTAGATATCAAGTTCAAAGCCAGCCTGCAACACATGAGAACCTATCTTTAAAAACAAACAAACAAACACCAAAACAACATATATACAGAATTAAACTAGGGGGCTGGAGATGGTTCAATAGTTAAGAGCACCGGCTACATTTTCAGAGGACCCAGGTTCGATTCCCGTACCCACATGCACATGTGGTGCACAGACATGCAGACAAGATATCCATACAGTCAAAAAAGAAAAAGAAAAGAAAAGAAAAAAAGAAAAAAGAAAAAAGCTAGATAGAGATGATAGAGACACAGACAGAAAGACAAAAGACAGCCAGGGAGAAACAGATTAAATAAAAGTGGAAGTCTGGTAGTCCTAGAGTCCTTTGCTATAATAACCTCAGCTAGTCTTGGAGCTATGGGTAGTAAATGGATGAAGTTAGCCTGCTCTGGCTCAGGAGGTCAACCTGGGGTCTATGAGATTGCTGCCAGGGGGTCAGATCCATCTAGTGAAGCAAAGCCAGTGAGAAGTGACAGGTTTATTCTGCTCTGGCCCTTGATTTTGCTAGCTACCCTAGTCTCAGAAAACACAGAAGGAGTCAGACTGGGCACATATGTGTACAGGTGACCCTGTTCCACAGGGCACCAGTCCTAGGCCAGCACAAGACCTGGGGCATCAACCAACCTTACCAGGAGGGTGAACTGAGATGGACAGTAGCAGTAGGAAGGGCACTAGGACTTAACTCTGCATCCAGTGTGAGTCATGCTGGCTCAACTTCCTGAATGGTCTCCTCTTCCTTGGCAAAAGCCTAGGTGCAGTGCAGGCACTTTTACCGATGGAAACAGACCGTATTGAGAGGCTCCCAGAGTTCCCTAACTCCAAAGTCCCCAGGGTGAATTACTTTCTCTTCCTCTCTCCACTCCAGCTCCCTTTTTGGTCTCATCGACTTTGAATCTGTCAGGTCAAAGGAACGGGAATTTATAAAAAGCAAATAAGTAATGGACATGGACTCCATCCTTGTGAGTTCAAGGTGCCAAGCACCTTGAAACAGCTTTGGGGTGCTAGTGAGGGAGGAATACTTATTAGGTGAGAAGTCTCCATAAATTGGATGAAGGTAAAAATATACCTAATCCTGACTCAGCCAGGAGGAACAGTAATACTTAATGCAATGGCCATCAGCACTAGCCCCTGTGGGCTGAGGGTCACCCTTTGCTAACCAGAACCAGAAAAGCTTAGGTGTTCCTACGTGGTCAGGCTTCTGTGGAGCCGATTGCCTCACAGAAGCCACCAGGATACAAGCAGGGATGCCAGGCCAACATTGTGGCAACCGGGTTCTTCTGCAGTGCAGTTTTAGCAGGGTTGAAATCCTGGCGCCAGGGTAGGGGCGGCCTAGAGGCTGGGCTGCGGCGTCCCGGAGGAGCCCCCACCCAGCTGTGTCCGCAGTGACCTTCAGGCGTCCCTGGCTGGCTGGGGTTTCTGTCCCATTAAAGATACATTTGGATCTGCGCACCGGTTAGCTTGGGTGTATGGACCTACCCCGCGCTATCGGGGGCGTCCCGGACTCTGCACGCTTCCTTCTGCCCTGTCAGCAAAGGAGCAGAAGAGACGAAGGCAACAGGGTCAGGAGCAAAACGCGGTGGGTATTAGGGCTGTTGACCCCAGTCCGGTGTTCTTTCTCCTTGAGCCCGCAAGCGAGGACTTCTCAAGGGTCTCCAAGCCGGTGTGGGGAGAGTGGCCCACGCCAAGGTGTGGTGCCTATGCAGCCGCCGCGCGCGCCAGGCCAGGATCTGGGGACCGGGGGCGCGGCTGCCCCCCCCCGCCTCGCCCCGCCCTCCTCGTCATGCGGGACGCGGGCGGGGGCGCCTCGGAGTGACGCGCCCTCCTCGCGGTGCCCTTCAGCCGCCGCCGCAGCACAGAGCGCCACATGGACCCCGCCGGCCCCAGAGCGCGCTGCTGCTGATCGTCCGCCTGGGAAGGTAACCGGCGCCCTTGCAGCCGGTCCGACCTTAACCGGCTCCCTCCTCTCCGTTCCCCAGCCCAGTCTTCCCCCCTACTCCTGGGCTTCCCTTCCCGGATCCCCGCTTTCTAGCCCTGGGTCTCCTTTCCAGCTCCTGGGTTCCCTGAAGCTGATTCTACGCTTATCAGCCGGGGTTTTCCTCAAGGTTGCTCAGCCTTGAGGGCGCTGTCCAACGCGAGGTGCTGAAGCGGCCCTGGGTTCCCTCTCCCTCTTTTTCTCTATTGAGAGGCGCGCTCTGGCTTGAGGCCGTGCTCGGGCCGGGCACCTCGCCCGCCCGCAAAGCAAAGGGTGCGGTGGCCGCAAGAGAACTGGACGCCTCTGTCTTTGCGGAATCTCCGCAGCGTCCTAACCTCTCTGCGGCTAGCCCTGCGGAGCCCCCATCCCCCGACTCCCTGGAGACGGAGAAGTTTAGAAGGCTTTGCGGCAAAAGCATCCCTGAACCCCGAGCTTCTGGGACGCTATCCTTGCCTGGCATTCCTCCATAGTTCCTTGGGGTCTCATTCTGCAGAGGGAAACCTGTGAAACATTTGATCCCCAGGGACTAGGTTCCCTGGCAGGAAATACCCTACAAAGAGGGATGTCTCTGCAGCTGTTGGCATTACTGAAACCCTTCCCAAACGCTGTTGATGCGTCAGCCCAGGCTGGACATTCTGGCTTGGGTCACCATACCCCGTGCAGAGACAGGTGGGGGCCATATGCCTCCACTCCCATTGTAAGATTGGGACCCTGTCCCTCCCTCATCCCCCTCTGATCCAGGGTCAGTTCTGCATTGGGAACCTCCAGAGTCTCCCTAGGGACAGATATAGTTGATACTAGTCAGAAGCTATAAGGTCCTTTCCTGAGGGGCAACATTCATGGACTTGTCCTCCCAATCCTTCTCCAGAGGGACCCCTGCCCCACAGCTCCAGAACTGCCAAGGAACCTGAGCAGCCAGAACCTGGACACCACAGTGGAACATTGACCTTCAAACGCCCCCTGGGCTCCGCCCCCGCTTGAGGAGGCTGGTACCAGACTCCTGTAACTGGTGGCCCCAAGTTGTGAGCTGCAGTGGCAGCTAAAAGCTTCCTTCAGAAGCCCCAGAAGCTGCAAGATAACTGTTGATTTGTCTGGGCTCTGGACCCTGCCATCCTGGTCTGGGTATGGGGGGCAAAGAGTCCTACAACGGATTCTCAGGATCCTGGAGAAGGGAACAAGGAGTAGTTGAGGGTCTGAGGAAAGCCTGGTCAGGGTACCTGTGACCACCTGCTCTCTTTAGGCAGAGGACTCTGACCACACTTGAATGTGAGATCTGACCCCGGAGAGGCTCCTGAGGAATCAAGCCATCATCATGGAGTTCGTGATGAAACAAGCCCTAGGAGGTAGGAGCTGGGCAGGGAGGGGGACCTGGGGTTGGGACACTATGTATACACAGACAAGATACTCAGAGACATTTCTCCACCACTGCAGTGGCACATAAATACATGGCTGCATGACCACCCTGACCTCACACACAGCCTCTATAGACGCTTGCTTGCCAGCTGAACAAACCCAGAGCAATTACTCTGGGGACTCAAGCCTTGAGATTGCAGACAAGATGTGGGAAGGATGTGCTGTGTAAGATGGCCCTGTGCTTTCATGCCATGGCCTAGTAAAACCACCACTGGTCATCCTGAGGCAAATGAAGACCTGAGCAGCATGGATCAAGGCAGATACCCCCAGAAAGCTTGTGAGCAGTCCTCACTGTGGCTGTTCTAGAAACAATAGGTGCACCAGGATTGGGTTAGGAAACAGGATTGGGGTGATCCCAACTATGGCTTCACCCAGGTACAAGACAATTCTGTTCACAAAAATAAGAAAAAAATAGCTGTGTAACCAAATCCCCTCCTACAGAGAAAATATGGCCCCTTTTGCATTGTTGGGTAAGGGTAGCCACTGTTTGGACCTACTTGGTCCAAAGCCATCTTTGTAACCATCAACAGCAGGATTAGAAGCTGGTAGAGAACAGTGGGATGAGTTCTTGGCCAGGAGGTGCTAAAATGGTGAGCTGAAGGTTTGCTACCCATTTGGCCTGAATGAGTTTCAGCAATTTGGTCAGCTCAGGCCTGTAGACTTTGATATTGTCCTTGGCAGACCTCATGTTTGTTCAGAGCTGCCTGCTCTGGGTGCCCCAAGCACCCTTGTGTAGCCTCAACACCAATTCTACTATTGGAGAGTCCTTGTGGCCTGTAGGAGAACCTCTTAACTGGTGTATGTCTCAGCTGGAATGTGTTAGGCATCCTTTGCTGATATGGAAAAGAGATGGGGGACCAGTTACTTAAAGGAAGCTGGTTGGGGCTCAGAACTAAAATAAAAAAAGAGAGAAAGATACAGGAATAGGCATTTCCCAGGGGGTGTCTGTGACTTTACTCTTGTATGATGCAAATTAGGCCCAGTGTGCCTGCTGAGAGTTCATGGCTGAAGTAGACTCAGTTTGAATCTAATTATAATGATTACATCACCAAGACAGGATTCAGGGACAAGCCACCATCCTGCATCAGAAGAGACCTGTGTTATACCCAGAGTCCCAAGCTGCTACAGATAATTAATTAGATGGCTAATTCAGGCCTTGAGGTGGGCTTTTAAAGAAACTGAAATATCTGATTTGGCTGTCTACATAGCTGAAATTAGCTGGGTAATTGCCAGCCTGGATTCCCTCTTTGTTCTATGCCAGCCCAAAGTTTCTCCCGCACAAGCGACGGGGTGTGCTTCTTGGAATGCTGTGAAGGCTGCCGATGTGTGGGATAACCAGCAGACAGAGGGCTGCAAGGTAGCAGCCACATTCTAGACTGAACATCATTAAAATCACCCCCCATATTTGCTCCGCATTCACTCCGAAGAGATAGGAATGTGGCTCCCACAATGTTTGGTGGAGTTGGTAGTGACTTCCCACCCCACTCTCAGACTTGTCATGGACTCCAAGCCCCTCTCTTTCTCTCTCCAGTATCACTTTTGGTGTCTTAGAGTGTGTGTGAGCAAAATGGACCCAAATGTAGATTGTTGAAGGAGAGGAATGAGTTCCAGATAAGGCCCAGAAAACAATAGAGAGCCCAAAATACAGATCAGCCTCAGATATAGAGAAACTGGCGAGCCAAGTAGTCAGGGAGAGGTAATAGGAAAGAAAATAATAGCCCAGAAACAGATATATGACTGTTTCACTGGTCCATGTCTACTTAGGGTTACTTGTGATCTGTTGCTTCACAAGGACCTAGACCAAAGAGGGGTAGGTCTTGGATCTGGCTAGATGTGGATCTGGTTCATGTCTATGTCATTGCCTGATCATTCTAGGCTCATGCCTGTCAGGGCAGTAGCCCCCATTTTGAAACCTCATGTCAGGCATGCAGCACCGGTATCCTCCGTTCCCTTTGGCATGTCCCTAATGCCTCCTGAGAGGCAGATCTGGGCCACAGTGACATCTTAGAGATGAGACTCGGAGAAACTAAGGCTTGTATGTACATGCCATGGAACAGTGAATAATGTCCCAAAATTCACAGACTTTCAATTCAGAGGTAAATTCACTTTGGATGGTTGTGAAGTTCTAGATAGTTTCAAATATTTCCTGTAGACAGTGTGTGGATGCCTGTATTTTGTTGTGTGTCCAATTCCAGGGGCCCAGTTGGGCCCAGTCAGCCACAGCTCTTCTGCTTGCCAGAGGCTCTCTATTCTAGTGCCATCTGTTGCATCCTCTCTGCAGACCATAAGGTAACTTGGAAGAAGGACACAACCCTTGGAGCCCCTACTGCATGAGAAAAGGAAGATTTCTGGCTTGAGCTAGGTGGACAGGTGTCCAGGGTGTGGTTTGTGAAGAGCCGAGCAAACCTACAGAGTGTTAGTGAGGAGGAGCCTGGCCAGATGTCCTATCTTCTGTCAGCTGTTTTGTGTACTGCAAATTCCCAGCATCATGTCTCACAAGTACAGCTTTCTCTATCAGTTTCTCTCACCCTCCCCACCTCACTTGCCTTGCCATGATCTCTTTCTGACCTCTGCACCACTGTGTCTGTCTAGGCTGACACCAGGTACTGGTTCCTGGGATTCTTGCATCTGAAGCTGCGAATTGCAGGGTGAATAGTATCCTATGGTGAGCCCACTCTGGGTCTGGCACCCTGGGGCTCTAGGTGAAGCTGACCCCACCCACTCCCAGTGTCCTTGCTTTTGTCAGAGTCTGGTCTCAAGAGTTCTGTGCATTGAGTTGCCCAGACTATTGCTGGTCTTGGTAGTGTGGGACACAGGTGGATACTCAGGGCTTTCTGTACTGAGAGGATAATGGGCTTGCCATTGAGCAGGGCTGCAGGTGAAGCTCTGGGAAGGTGTCTCATGGTGAAGTACCAGATAGCCAGGAGGAAAGCAGCTGGTGTCAGGGTGCAAGGACTTATGAGGAGGCTCAGTAATGTCATCAGGACCTGGCGCTGCCCTTGTCTCTTTGTCCGTCCACACTTAACCCACTCCTCAGTTTTGAAGTGGCTGTTGCTAGTCTGGTATCACTCCTCTACTCCAGGTAGAAACTAAGCAACATCTCTGATTGGCAGATGTTTCTGTGGACTCTTGTGGAAGTTTTCCACTAGTCACCACTTGTTGAAGCCACTACAAAGATGAGGGCCAGTGTAGACACATGAACTCCAGATCAGGGCAGGGCTTGAATGGATAGCTCTCAGATTGGCTGGGCAGTCTTGATGCCAGGCCTACCAACTGTGAGCCTTTTGTAGACAGAATTCCCCATTTCCTGACTCACCTCATAGAGCAGGCAGGTAGTAAACACTTAAGGATAAAATACCCACACTCCTGTGCACTCAGGAGACCCTAGTGTAGTGCATGGCAGCAGATCCAGCTTGTGCCCCATAACTCTCAGTGGCTAGAAGGACACTTGAGGGAAACAGCTTTTCTCCCTAAACCCTGAAAGGCAGCTCTTTCCTTAGGAGAGGACACTCCTGGTTGATTAGGCTGTAGATCAACTGAAAATGCCTTAGTCCTGACTGGGGTTGAAGAGGGTGCTGAGCACTCCACTGATTGTCATTCACACTCTGACCTGTTGGTTGGCAAGAGATCTTGGCTGGGACTCAAGGTACATTTCACAGCCCTAATGAACACTAGTTCTCAGAAGCCTTCACTAAGGTTTCTCATTGCAGAACTAGCTGTGACAGGCCATTTAGTGCTGGAGGTTAACTGGAATAGGAGCTTCCGAGTGAGGGACAAGTCATTGCTGCCTGATGCTAACTAGCCTAGCAAAGCACAACCCAAGCTGGAAAAGACATCAAGAAAGAAGAGGCAGCTTTTCAGGCCCCTCCCCTAGCACCTCTCCCACAGGATACGCTCTTCTGACTCCCTTCTATCTACTACCATAGGATTGGGAGAGAGGGGTAAACACCCTGCTCTGCAGAAACCCAGAGTCTGAGATTTCCCAGTATTAGCCAGGGACTGCTTGGAGAAGCCTGTGTGCCAAGCATCCCTGGAAGAAGGAAGCTTTGTCTGGGGGACAGGAAAGTATCAAGTTGGTCTCACCAGAGCCATCCTCACCTGTTTTTGCACCACATAATTTAATTTTCCAATGTTATTCTTCTCTATCAGCCAGTGGCCTTAAGAATACTAACTCAGTGTCACTGCCAAGCCAGCCTTTTACCATCTTCTGGATGAGGGCAAACATCACTGTCTTCTGTCCCTAAGGTTCCAGGGCCTCTTGTTTCATTTTTGCAGGACCAGCAGCTCAGCAGGATGAGAAGGACAACCCATGGTTCTATAGGAAGAGAGGTGGACTCTGAGTGCAGGGACACTCAGCTACTGGTGTTGGTGTCCAGTGCTAGGTACAGACTGAGGTCCAGAGGTGGAGGAGTAGGCAGTCAGGCAGCTGCTGGAGCACAGGCTATAAGGGAGGTTGGTGCAGCAGCCTGGCCTTTGTCTCAGACTGACTTTTCTGAGGTGACTGTACCTAAAGGAAATGACAGACTCTGGCTGCAAGAAGGATGGAGGCTCTCTCAGGCCCCTTCCTTGGGTCCTACCTCACTATCCTTGACCCTTGTCTCCCTCAACAGAGAACAATAAATAGCACTGTCACCTCTGGTCCTTTGAGGTTAGTTGGGGAGAGCACACAGCAGAGGCAGTGGACTGGATCAGTTCCTAGTGACTGGCAGAATGACTGATCAGGGGGTCAGGATTTCAATCACATTCAAGACTGGTGGCTGAGCCATCTGTCACAGAGCCCGACTCTTTGAATTTACTAATTGGTGACTTCATCTAATCTCTGTTTCCTCTCTGTCCTTTCCCCAAAGCCAAGATCAGATGCTGTTGTCTGCCTGACATTTTGCTCCATAGGAAAGGATGGCAATATCTACAGCAGGCAGTTCCAGCCTCC